CTTTACACTGTTCTGGCTGCTCTTCTCGAGATGAGTTGTTCCTTGTCTTCACAAGGTAAATTATGATTGAGATGCTGTTTTTTCTTGCGCACAATTTAACAGTTAGGCAGACAGTTGAACAAACACCTGAAAAGAAAACCCGCAAAAACTTCATGACAGGAACAAAAAAAAGACTCCACGCCCTAATGTACTTCATGAAGACAATAAAACAACTAATCTTGAGGAAAATAGAAAATACAGTGAAAATTAGGGAGAAAATGGCCAATTAGGCTGGAAACAGCTGATCGCCGCGGTCGTGACGCGCCGCAGCCGCGTCGCGACCCTTGCCGCCCTAATCCAGTGCCCGGATGACGACCTTCCCAACTGCGAGACTTGTCTCAGGGCTCTTCGACTGTAATATTGTGGTCAGCCTCGAACAGAATCTGGGGTACGGCAGGGGTCATAAGCTGTTTTTGTCTGTTGTATGTTTGTCTTATTTGCCCTTCTTATTTACTCAATTCAACACCCTTCCAGAGAGAATGCTTAACACAGATAAGGACACAGTGAAGGTTCCATTCTGAAAAACATGTTGATATCAATTCTTGCCAATTTTTTGCCTCAAAGTCAAGTTCTATGTGAAATATCATAGTTTCTGTTGAAAACAGCTCACCTAATGAGAATAACGTACTGGTAGTAGCCTTATACAGTTGAGAAGCCTGCGAAAAAATAGCCTTTATGTGCCCAGCAGTCACAACGGAATTTCATTTTGAAACTGCCGCTGCGCATTAGCATGTAGTGGGTTGCGCCTTAGGGATACCTCTTCACCGTGAAGCCTCCCTCCTCCTTCCTTTTTCTTACCTCTTTACCTCCTTTCTTTCTTCGCTCCTCCTTTTCCCTTCTCTCTTCAAATACTCGACCAGTGAATGCGATGAAAGAATACCTCAAGCGAGAGAATGTGGGGTTCGTAGCAGGGCACGCCATCGTTGTGATCATCACAAGGGGAGGGGGTCGTATTTGACCGCGAGGAGGGGGGGGGGTCGTACTTGGTCATTTTTGGGAGGGGGTCGTATTTGGTCAGTTCATGGACGCACTACTATTTCCGACACTTGAAAATGATAGTTTAATTC